AAGTTTTTATGCATGCACACCAAGTATTCACTCATACCCCACAACACCATTCTCACAAGCACACACCTTTCTGTCCCACATGCAGAAACACCATTCTCAATTCCACCATTCCATTCTTATACATGTGCACTCAAAGAGAGCCAGATCTCCTTTGGAAGCAGGAAGCCAGAAATTTCAAAAATGCAGTGGTCCCTTCTAGCAGGAGGGTTCCATTGTTGCTGTCTTGACTCATTTTTTTCTCGATCAAGTCTACCTCATCATTGGTTGCTGTTCCTCTTCATTGTCATTGTGCATGCTCATCACTTCTTTCTTCTTCTGCTCCATCACTGCTAGAATTAAAGACTGAGAGTTTTTAATCTGTAACTCAGCACTGGCAGTGGGCCCTGGTGGACCTCTCTTTACCCAGGGCTGAATTGTGGAGACATTTGATTTAGCACCACCCTGATGAGCTGGGAATTAAAACCATCCTGTCCAGTGCTGCCACTTCCAGGTACCTTCTGATGTGCCCTACTCAACACAATATTTGGATCTGGCGGAAGCCATTGGCAGAAGCTACCTCTTCAATATTTAGAAGTGTTTTTTTTTTAAATGAATTCAATCTCCATGTCTAGGGGTTATGTAATAGGGCTTTATTTATTTGTTGTAGAAATGCCAATAAGGGAGGGATCTTCCCTTTAATGCCCAGGCCAAGCCTGTAGGATGGAAGAAAGTCTTTATGAATAGAACTTCCATGTTAAAGAAACAATAGGAAGCCTTTGATATAAATACACTAAAAGATGTACATTGAAGGGGGAAAGGTTATTTAACTGGATCCACAATATTTAGGTCAGATGCAGAAAAGCACATAAATAAATAAATCTGAGGGGACCAACTCATACTTCCACCTATGATTCTGAGATTTTCCATCTCTCCTTTATTTCTGATACATGGAATGACATCTACATTACAGAACTCTGATGAAGCAAACTCCAAGCTAACTTTATTCACTTGCAAACTTTATTTCTTTCCTTCTTTTTCAGACCAAGTATTTGGTTGCAATCTAAGCAGCTTGTGTCAAAGAGAAAACACCACTGTGCCAAAATTTGTGAAGCTATGTATTGAGCATGTTGAAGAGCATGGTAGGGGAAAGATAACCACTTACTTCTTAATTCTGAACTTTGTTATTGGTTTTACTAAGCTTTTGCATGTATAGCAAGTAAATTCTGTTTGGGCAGAATACTTGTTTTGTATTAACTGTAAGAATAGTTTGTTTCAGCTCTTGTTCCTCCTTAATGTCTAGAAATTTTTCATCTAGAAAGTTTAGAAAACTATCTCAAGTATTCCTATGCATTTGTGAATGTTAACATACTGGTATTTCCAGGAATCGAGTATATGTAACAGGGTTATGCAGCCATGATCATGCTATATATTTATTGTTCTCCTGTTTCAGTATTTCACAGTGTAGTCTTATGAATGTCTACTCAGGAGTAAGTTCCATGTGTTAAAAGAGGGTTACCTCAAAGTAAATATGTAGGATTGCACCTTGTATGTTTGGTCATTTTTGTTTTGTTTTTTAAATGCTGAGTGTTTGTTTGCTTACTTTAGTACTACTTGTAAGTGGGAGTAGTAATACTGAAGGGTGGGATATAGATCTCTAAATATGTCAAGGTTTTTGTGAATAAGGATACTATAGTAATTTCACACCAAAGCTTGCTTCAGAGAAACATACATTCATTTAAAAACAACTATATAGCTCGATCATAAGCAAAGTTTTTGCACACATCATATTTTCAGAGTTAAGCCTTGGACCACATTATGAGAATTAAACATGCATATGCCTTTAGTGATTTTAAGCACACCTCTCAAGGTTGAGACAGAAGGAATTGACTGAATATTTATCAGATACGCACAGGTCTTGTTACCTTTATATTTAGCCTATGTTCAGTTTTTAGGATGCTGGTAGATGGAAATCTAACATTTGTTATCCATTAGTCCTCATAGTACCTTTTTCTGGTGACAAAAGGCTGTGAATAGATGTTAGTCTTTGTAGAGCTATTACAGATTGTGGCATCACAAACATTGATTCTGCTTTGCTAGGTGTAATTGAGGGCTGATGCTACCAGTGCCAGTCCAGTGAAAAACTGTTGTTGGTGTGTTCCTTCAAGTTGTTTTCCACTTATGACAACCCTAAGGTGAACCTGTCAGGGTGTTTTCTTGGCAAGATTAGTTCAGAGAGTTTTGCTTTTACCTTCCTTTGAGGCCGAGAGAATGTGAGTCTCTGTGGCTGACTGGAGATTCAAACCTTGATCTACAGAGTTGTAGTCCAATGTTCAAACCACTACACCACACTGGCTCATTGGGGCTTACTTAAGTAAAATATCAAACAATAGATATTGGCATAATATTCAGCAGGTTGAATATTCCCTTCCTGTTTGGTGGCCAGTTATGTGAACTAATTTCTCTTGAACATACACCTCCCAGGTGGTGGTGGTGTGTGTTTCATCATGCATTTTATGGCTAGGGAAGTGTGTTCCAAATGAAAATGGCACTACCTTCATGAAATATAGACCGGACAGATTTTTTGCAAGAGAGTATCACAAGAGCAAGAAAAATGGAAAACTGGTAATTATGTTTGGTAACTCTGTGGTCTTGCTAAAATAGGTTCCCAAATGGATCTTGAAAAGCTTGCTTCCTCTGACATGTTGAAAAGTTAGGCCCAGAAAAATTGAAATCTCTGTGGCAAAGTGGAGGTTAAACAAGCAATGTCATATTTTAATTTAGCTTATATTACCAGTTTACATTTCTTCTTGATGCCTTAGATTTCTTGTATTACCCATAATTTTACATTTCTTCATAAGGCTTTAGATTCTGAAAAATGGAAATTTAGATATCTTAAAATAATAGAAAATAGTGTGTGTGATGTCAGAACTAAACTATGGAATAATCACTTACTGAACATTTTTAATTTTTTTTACTGAACATTTTAAAATTATTTTACAGGATTGGATGTTGATGGGTTGTACAGAGTTAGTGGCAATCTTGCAGTAATACAGAAGTTAAGATTTGCAGTTAATCATGGTAAGTTCCTCTCCAGAACAACTAAAGAAGAGAGATAGTGATTTAGCTTTTCATTGATAAAAAAGGGATACAGTGACTTAGTTCTTGATTTATAAATGCTTAAACACAGCAGATAATAACACATTATGTTTCCATTATGAAATACAGAGACTATATTCATTATGATCTTAGCAAAAACTGAATTGCATCTCAGAAACTTTTCAATCTTTAGCTTTAATATTCTACCACTATTTTTTGCTAACTTCACTGAAACATTACTTTCAAGACTATGAACCATGTCAATGGGAACTCATTTTGATTTTCTCTCTCTTTTAGATGAAAAACTGGATTTGAATGACAGTAAATGGGAAGACATCCATGTTATTACAGGAGCTCTGAAAATGTTTTTTAGAGAATTGCCAGAACCACTATTCACTTTCAGTCATTTCAATGACTTCGTCAATGCAATCAGTAAGTCTTTTGTGAAAGAAACTTTTCCTCCTAAGAGAATTGTCTAGTAATTTTAGAGTGGTGGCTGTTGTAGAAGTTAGTACAAAAAGTCTGGCCCTACTAAGTCATAGTGTATTAGGTTTACCACCTCCACTATCACCATGCCAGCAACATTGAGATTATTGTTAGAATGACAGTATGTGAAATATAAATATATAATATATGTGAAATGCTTTTTAAAATGCTGTCAGAGTAACCTAATAATGTATTATTTAAGCAGTATAGATTTCTTCATATGTATTCTACCTGTTTGAACATTTACATGTTTGTGATTTTGTACCTTGTTGTTTGCCTTCAATTCATCTCAGTTCATGGGGTTTTCTTGGCAAGATTTGTTCAGAGGGGGTTTGCCTTTGCCTACCTCTGAGGCTGAGAGAATGTGATTTGTCCAAGGTCCCCCAATGGGTTTCCATGGGTGAGGGGGAATTTGAACCCTGGTCTCCAGAGTTGTAGTCCAGCACTCAAAGCGCTACACCACACTCACTCTTATCACTTGCATACCAGTTAACAATTAAAATATATGATAACAGATTTGCAGAGGATTTGCATGTGCTGATTTATAACGTTCAATGCACATTTAGAAATGCTGTGACTGAAATAGAAGAATGTGGTTCATTTCACCATAATGGAGAAAGCTGTGACCTGGGGAGCATTCGGTGCAGTCATGCTAGCCAAATGACTACTGGATTCGTCATTGGACAATGAGGGCTCTTCTGTTTAGTATCAGAGATGAGCACCAACCCCTACAGTTTGGTTATGACTAGACATTCATGTCAGAGGAAAACCTTTACCTTTACAGAAAGTCTTAGGGAACTGAAATGCAGTCCAACATGACTTTTACCATTTCTTTTCTTTTCTGCATCCACATTCTTTTATTTAGAAACAGTGCTCTGTAAAATGAAAGGAGGCCATTATTGCTAGCTTATTTACAAGGGGGTATCATAAAGTTTTAATTATCACCTTTAAAAAAATTTGGCAGAAAATTTGTTTTGATTTATAGTTGTTAACTTATCTCTTTATAGTCCCCATCCAGATTTACACATTTTCCCCAGTGTTTATTGACCGTCTGAATACCATTATTGTAGTAGTCTGCAGATTGCGCCTTAAACCACTCTTTCACTTCATGAATGACGTCATCTGTGTTGTCAAATTGGCGACCCCGCAATGGATTTTTCATTTTTGGGAAATGAAAAAGTCACTTGGTGATGATGACACACAAAATTTCATCAATATGCCATAATAACCTCTGGGTGATAATGATTACTTTACGATACCTCCTCGTACTTCTCCATCTTACACTTTAGTCACTCCTGGCACAACCTGTAACAAAAATAAAGGACACAATGAGCTGATTTTCTCAACACCATGCACTTAGGGACCAATGATGACACTGACAAAATTTCATCAATATACCATAATAATCTACTTTACGATACCCTGTCGTAGATATCATTATGGTTGTGGAATAGTGGTTTGAATGTTGGACTATGGTTCTGGAGAACTGGGTTCAATTCCCTGCTCAGCCATGAAACCCACTGAATGATCTTGGGCAATTCCCATGCTCTCAGTCTCAGGGGAGGCCAGTGGCAAACCCCCTCTGAACAAATTGTGCCAAGAACCCCTGTGATAGGTTTGTCTTAGGGTCGACGTGACTGGAAGGCACATGACCAACAATAACAATGAAAGCTACATTTTTTAAAAAATCAGTATTTTCCTTTTTATACTCATGTTGTAATTAGCAGTCTTTAGTTGAGCACTTCATGCATCTAATGAAGTGTGATATTTGCTAACAGTTATTTATAAACTGTTAGTCTTATGCTGTAGAGATGCTAAATCATCTTGGTGGTCTTACTATTTAATGTTGCAGTTGTCAGGGATGATGGGAGTTGTAGCTCTTCACCTCTGGCTCTAA